GTTTTTAATCGAGAAACTTTACTAGGACATAGTACTTTGTAAAATAAAACAAGTTTTTTATATAAACATAGGGTCGCAACTTTTTTGTTTTCGACCTTTGGGCTGTCAAAGTTGAGCCAAAAATTTACATTTTATCTTTTATTTCCGGTATAAGTAAACCATAGAATTTAAAATTTTGTATGTATGTACTACAGGTTAATATCTTATTTTCAACCATACCTTAAACTTCCAGAGCGCCCTCTAAGGGGATGAAATTTACCACCCCCTTGATTTTTTTTTAAGAAGTTCTTAACGCTATGGAATATTAACATAAAAAAATATGAAATAACAAATTAATTCTTTTGCAAATTGTACACCAGAATCCTGACGATTTTGAAATGGCTCCTCCACATTATGCGGCAATGGTACGAAATTATCTTGATACAAATTTTAATGGACGGTGGATCGGTCGACGTGGGCCGATTGAATGGCCAGCAAGATCACCAGATCTGACACCTTTAGATTTCTTTTTATGGTGTTATTTAAAATCCAAGGCATATGAAATTTCGCTGGACAGTATTGAGGATTTAAAACAAAAAATTATTGACGTCTGCCAAAATATTGATCATCACATGTTAAGCCGTGTGAGAGAGGAAACACTACAAAAATGTTTGTTCTTAATAAATAAAAAATTCTTTTGTCCACGACTACCTTATAATATATACCTTATGAATGAGTTTTCTAAAACAAAATGGTAGTCATTTTTCACGGAGTGAATAATAGCGGTGAATAATAATCATTATCCACGGGTAGCCATGTTGACCAGACTAATAATAATTATTAGAAACGTTACAAGTTCAAAAAACGTCAATTTAATTCAATTTTTTAGGAGTTTCTAAAAGTTTGAGATTAAAAAAACCTAAACAAATTCCTTTATTTGTATGATTTAAGCATAAATTAATTAATTTTCGTAAAGAAAATGACGTTTTATAAAACTGACATTTAATTTTGACAAATTGTTATGAAGTTGGTTACAGTTAGTAACATTGAATTTGTGTCACATTGACGTTTAACCTTTATTAAAAAATTTATTTAAAAAATAAATTTATGGAATCAATTTCAATAGTCGTGGAAAAAGTATAGTAGGTTAGCTTAGTGAATAATAGCCCTCGTTATATGCTCATATAATAATATACTATTATTATTCAATAACAACACTAAGCCAATTTTTCAACCGATACGGCAAAATCTTTAATAAAAAAATTTCATTTCTTATATTGACTTTGATTTTTTTCTTTATAAATATTTTTTGATAAAATATGATTAATTCATAAATTTAATATACTTCAAAAATAAGTATCTAAGGGAACTATCAATTTTAAATCCCTCTTAGCTCGAGCGTATACCTACCGTTAACCTACCGTCCACCATTTAACTGGCCGATTGCATTTCGACAGGTAGTCGACGAAGATACGTTGGTTTTTCCAGCGAAATTCCGCATTTTGTTTAATTTTTATGCAAAAAACTAATAAAGCGATATTTGATTGTGAGGTACCGTTGGATTCGTATTGGTTTCGTCTTTCGGAAGATACCATAATATACTGGGTGTTCCATATAAAAAAACAAAGTGGATCCATTTTCCGGAAAAACTAAAAGTGATAGCAAAATTTTCCATAAGCAAATATTTGTGCTGATAAAATATAGAACCTGACGTTTTTTTGCTCATATTGATATCTCAATCTGTTCGGAAGTTAAAAAGGGGGGGGGGGTTACTTTACGCTAGCACTGTATAATCTAATCTGTAGTTGAAATATCTAATTTATAAATATTTTATGTTTTTCAACAAAAGAAATAGATATTTTAACTACTATTGCTTTAACTAATCGAAAAACATAAAAATACCTATCCACAAACATTCATTTGACTAATACTTCATATAGTCAAGCTACTTTTTCGACAACTAATGTGAAATAGCTATTTGATCACATTATTTTTCTCTGTGTGTATTTAGTTGTAATTAGTGATGTAAAGTTTAGTTACTTTTTAGTATTAATAACTATCCGTTACTTTCAGAAAAAGTATTCGTTACTTTGTACTCGTTACTCGTTACAAGTAATCGTTCGTAAAGCGTTCGAGTACTCGTTTGCGCTCGAGGTTCGATTACTAGTTTGCGATAGAGTACCTAGTCGTTTTAGTTGAACTACATACTTACAAGAATTGATTTTATCTACGACTGCTTGGATAAGTCATCATTACCGCACTCATTTGAGGTGATTTGAGTTACGTAATGAAGTTCATTACCGCACTGGTTTCATTACGTAACGCATTTTTAGCCTAATCAGAACAGACTTAATTTATTGAAACGAGCAACAATACAAAAGAAAAAGTGCTATCTACTTACAGAGAAACAATACTATTTATTATAAACATTAATTGTTATGTTTTTACATTTCAAAACACTTATTCCAGATAAGTTGTTGAAACTGACAGTTCAAAATTGTCAACAATCATTTTTGTCATCATCAAATATTTTTATAAATGTCAAATAGACTTTTCTAAAGAAATTGATTTTTTAGTAATTTTTAGCAGTCGTAGATAAAATGCTGTATATTACACGTAGGCTAGAGCATAATTACAGTACTCGTGTGATTACATTCTCCACACTCGTACTGTAATTATGTTTCTAGCCCACTTGTAATATAAATAACTATTATATTACACTTATTTTTGAAAACAAATACTGTACGTATATAATATTGTGTTTGTTACGCTACTATAGTAGACGCCACGAGAGCTGGCAGTAAATCTCGTTTTCCGCTCTTAGAAATGCCATACGTAGTTCACAAATCGATAGAGAGTAATGTATGTTAGAAAGAGATAGCATTAGTTTAATATGTCTGCTGTACAATTCAAATGGCCACGTCGAAAAAGTACGTCTGTTCTTCTAAGGGATGTCACTCTATAATTATAACCTCAAATCGAAACGTCTTGTGAGCGTTGTCATGAATCTGTTAGTGTTTTCACAAGCCGAAAATGTTTTCTTTGAAAGGAAAATCATTAAATAATATCTTTGACAATGTTTGACATATAACCTCCATTACTAACATAACCTACATTTAAATGTATGTGGTGAAATAATCTAAGTCGTACGTCCATATCTTGATTCATACCATTTTTAAGCGATCTGTCACTGCCAGCTCTCGTGGTTTCTACTATATGCACTGTGCACTAATATCAAAAAATAGAGTGTAGGTTATGAGATTTACTTTTTCACTGCATATTATAACGATGAATTTTTCTTAATTATTGTTACTTAATTATTAATAACTTACGTTTCTCTTATTATATAACAAAAATATTTGAAAGTAGTAACACATTAACAATGGAAAACAAAACTTCTTCTATAAAACAAGCAATATTAAAATAAAAATATTAAAATAACAATAAAAGATATTATAACTTATTGTAATGTAGAAATAAAATTTTTTGTACATTTCGACTTTTAAGTCGATTTCGCCTATCCGACAATACTTGGCCAGCTTTGAAAAAAGTAACTGTTAGATCCAAAGTAACTGGTACCGATGTGATACGGTAACAGTTACTTCTAATCTCGCGGAGTAACGAGTACTCGTGTAACGAATAGTTACTTTTTTTATATCATTAGTGGGAAGGTTTGATGTATTGATTCCGATGTTGAAAAATATACCCATATGATCTGAACATAAGTCTCCAGTTGTGGCTATGTTGGTAATGATATTTTTGAGATTATCGGTGTGGATCATAATGTCCGTTGTGTTTGAATGCCTTTTTATGACATTTGATAATGAATTACAGAAATTCCGCATTATTATGATTTTTTGAAAATAATTGCATAACCCGAAAAACAAGTAAATGATCTTATGATGTTTAAAGATTAATATCTCAGAAACTAAAAGATATTTTGAAAATTCATTTCTTTCATTGGAAATGTGAATTCTTTACATTCAATTTACACTACGTTGACCTTAGTAAAATTAGTTGTAATCCAAATAAGAAAAAAAATCTTCGTACAATTACTAGTTAATTTTGAATTCTATTTTGAAGAAGTGTGTGAAATTTCAATACGATAAATCCATTAGTTTTGTAGAATCATGTCTAACGACTCCAAAAATAATGCTTAAAAAAAAACAGTTAAAGTTTCGTCGATTTAGCGCCATAAAATAAAGTTCCTGCTACAGCTACAATGTCCAAGGCGTCCTTTTGTTTCTGCCTAAATCGAATTCTTTCTTCGAGTTCTGGTCTTAGCTTTTTTCTCACCTACCAGTATACGATGCTCATCCTCTTTTCGTGTCTACTTGTGGCAATTTCGGCCAAAAAATTAATAAAGCAGATGCCTTCGTTGAAAGTACTCGCCGTAAGTATTGCAGCAATTCCAACTATTTCAGAACTAGCAGGAAGTATTTTTGTAATGATTTTCAAAATTAACTGATTAAGGCTTTCGTTCTTATTTTGGTTAAAGCCACCAACACGTCGCTCCAGAAGCACATCCTTACCGAAACAGCATTTGAAAATGGAGCATTCTTCATTTCTGTAGTTTTAGGATTAAGTGATTGTTTCCTTTTCCTAGGTCTATCTTTTCTTCTAACACCTTTTACTCGGTCAACTCTACTAACTTTAGGCATTTCGCAAAAAAACAAGTAAAAATCTCAGTAAAAAGTTACAACGCCTTAAGAACCAATTAAGGATGACTTCCAAAAAGATAGAAAAGTAGCTAGTAGTCCGTATCATAAGAAATATAAGCAGAACATGAATGGAAAAAACAAGTCTTTATGGCTTCCACAAAGAAGAAGAAATCAGCATTAAATGTAAAATCCAATTTGAGTGAACACAAAAAAAATCTTAATATAACGAATTAATCTTTGAACCACAACCATCAACAATCAATATTATCGTTATTTTAGCATAATCTAGATATAGTGACGATCTGAGATTCTGCAAAAATATTTAAAAATTTATTATTATTTTATATTTTTTTGTTTTAGATGCTGGAGCTGCATCCTTAAATAATATTACCGGCGCATCCAATTCCAGTTCAGAAGCATTTCAAGGTCAAACAATTCCCACATGTGTTTATCTTCACGATAAAGTAGCTGTTATGTTAGATATGGAAGATTCGCCAGGAGCAACCGTTGAGATGATATGTTCAGCAATTATTAATAGTGATGAATTAGGATTAAATAAACAAATTACCCCGCAACTTTTTACGTTGTGGATGACCAGCAAATTATTAGAATTACAATTAAAGCCAACCCAAAAACCTTATGAAATCCGGAAATCTTGGAAATCATTGATTAGTAAATTTAGTCATGGTTCGTGTAGTAGGCAAGAAAGAGATGAACCGATGATTTATTTTCAAAGAAATGTGTTTTTTCCTCAATATTTAGAAGAAAAAATAAAGTATTAGTATCCTAAAATAATAATTTTTTTTTAAGGAAATAATTTTTTAGGGATCAAAGAATTTTAGAATTATTATACGAAGAGGCTAAACATAACATTTTAGAAGGAAGATATCCTTGCGAAGTTGGTCATTACATAATGTTAGGTGGAATTCAAGCAAGAATTGAATTAGGTCCTTATAATCCTCAAGTTCATTCGACGCATTATTTCCGTGAAGAACAGTATAAATATCTTCCTATTCACGTTAGGAAAAGTTCTACCTGGACTTGGTTACCGATTAGTTCAAAGAATTCGGCGGAAGTCAGGCTTTTGGAACAATTTAAAAGAATACCGACATCCGCTACTAACCGAAAATTAATGAGAAAATACTTAGAATTTTGTTGGTCATTACCATTTTATGGATCTACATTTTTCGAAGGACAAATTGAGCAACCCGTTCGAGGTTTAACCAGTTTGATAACGCGACAAGATATTCCCGTTTTAGTTGCGATAAACGCTAAAGGATTATATGTTATAGACGATATAGAATGTGTAAATATTTTTAAATTAATTATAACAATTAATTTTTTTGTAGACTGTTCTTCTTGGTTTAAGATACGAAGAATTTAGCTGGGATTACGCGAGACCTTCCAAAGAACACGATCCGAACTGTTTTCCATGTTTATTTTTGCAATTTCTAGTCGTTGAAAGTGGAGTAAGAGTTTCGAAAATATTACAAATATTTTCACGGCAAGGTTCTTTAATGGACACTTTAATATCTGGATTTGTCCAACAAATTAAAGAGAAAGCAGCCGATGAAAGTGATCGACCGTATATGAATCAAGTTATTGGAGAAGGTTACCTCATTTACCTCCTTTACAATTAAAAATTACATAATAATTTTTTTAGATACTCACGCCCCTATAACCATAGCAAACCCTCAACATCCCTTAACAAATTTACCATCACTTACGAATAAATTAAGTCGTTTAACTTTAGCTACTTTTGATGAGGACGGACATTGTATAGGACAAATGGGATCGTGGTCGTTTAGTTATTAAGATTTCTTTTGTATTTATGAATAAAATTAAATTTTATTGAAAGTTTTGTCTCTATATTAATTAACACAAATCTAAAAAAAGGGATGTTGATTGTTGTTAGATGGCTGACGATTATTTCCGAAGTAATTTTCTGCGTGGAATCAGAATCTGAGCTAAGAATTGGACCATCACGTCAGGATTTTGAGATATTTGAAGTTATATACTAGAAAACGGTTTTTTTGGCTACTTTTGAAGTTATATGTGAGACGCACACTATTATTTTGCTGTATTCTATCTATTTCATCATATAGTACTATCTCGACCCTTCACGATGCGCTCTCGAATGGTGCTTTACAATTCTTCCATTATAAATTATGATCATTTTAAAATAACATAATGATTTGGAACCCAGCATATGGATCAGTACTGCCAGATGCGGTGGACACGCCAGCCCGAATTTTGTATTGTATTTAGCTTTTATGGAATCACTTTTGGTTGTGTTCCATAGATCTTGTGCCACATTGCCTCTTGTGTTGAACGAGTGGCTCATCACGTTGAAGTAACCAGCAATAGTCGGCTACCATTGACGGTTATTGTTTGTATCGTAGAGATAGAATGGGCCGTGGTGGTGGTGTTGCGATCTATGCAAGAAATGTTTTTGCTTCTAAGTCTATTGCCTTTGAAATGCGTGATTCATGCGAACAGGTTTGGATAGACGTACGAATTGGTTCTGTGAAATGTATTGTCGGCTGTATTTATAGGCCTCCTACAACTAATAATACAACTTTTATGGATGATTTGGAGCTCCAATTGGCTGCACTTAGGTTGCGGTATAGCATGATTTTTTGTTTGGGTGATTTTAATATAAATTTATTGATTCCTGATCATAGAGATACTGTTAATTTGTTGTCTGTTATACAAGGTATGAATATGTGGCAAATTATTAATGAACCTACGCGTGTGTCTGAAACAGCTGTATGTTTGTTGGATGTGTTGTATCCGATGAGGTGAATGTGAGGAAAGGTGTGCTTCATTTGGAAATATCTGACCACGACTTGGCCTTTGTAAGTGTGCTATTCAAAAATACAATCATAAGCCGATGTGGTTCACTTTTCGAGACTTCTCTTCTTTTAATTACAACGATTTTATTACTGCGCTGGAAAGGAGTGCTTTTCGACAATATCTACCATATAGAGTCTGTGGATGATAAGGTTGAATTTTTTAATACATATATTCTTCTTTTATTCGATGTGTTTGCACCCGTAAAAACTGTAAAGCCTAGTAAACCGAAAATGCCATGGTTGACTGACACTGTTAAACTGCTACGACGACTTAGAGATAAGGTTAAATTTAGATATAAACGTACTAAATTGGACGCTCACTGGCAATACTATAAGCAGTTGAGGAACTACACTACTCTCGCGATTCATAATGAAAAAAGGCTTATTTTGAATATTTACGAACACACTCTGATAGTAAAACCTTGTGGAAAACGTTTAAAAAAGTGCATGTGGTTCCTAATAAAAACACTGATATTCTGTCTCATTTAAGAGATGCCAATTTAATAAATCAATTTTTCATCAATGGTGTCCCGGTCAGTAGTGATAATTTAGCTGACACTATTAAATTTTACTAGTCTACTTCACTAAATGGGACTAACTCTCCATTTGAGTTGCGAGTTGTTGAGCAAGAGACGGTCAGGGATTTGATTTTTGCCATTAAAAGTGGGGCTTATGGTTATGATCGGGTATCTGTTTCTATGTTGAAACTGGTGGTTCCTCAACTGCTACCTCATATTACTCATATTATAAATAGTTGCATTACTAGTGCTTATTTTCCTAAGTTGTGGAGGTGTGCGATTGTACTGCCTTTACCTAAGGTGACCTCACCTACTGAGTTTAAAGATCTGCGTCCTATTAGTATATTACCAACGTTGAGTAAAGTCTTAAAAAAAATTGTTAATGAGCAGCTTAGAGAATTTTTAATTGAATATAACATTCTGCCTGATGGACAGTCGGGCTTTATGCCTGGTCGCAGCTATGCCACTACCTTATTAAATGTTACTGATGATATAATAAGGGCTAGAGATGATAATAAATTCAATATATTAGTGCTTTTGGAGTTTAGCAAGGCTTTTGACACTGTCAACCATTCTATTTTGTTAGCTATATTACGCAATATAGGTTGTAGTAATGATTTTTTAAGTTTCATGCAATCTTATCTTCAGAATCGGCGACGGTTGGTGCGAGTGGGAGGCGAGGTCACTGAGGTTTCAGACTTTATGAATATAACTAGAGGTGTGCCGCAGGGCTCCATTTTAGGACCTTTATTATTTTGCATATACACTGCTTTTATGCCTAAATGTGTTAAAAATTGTCAGATACAAATGTATGCGGATGACACACAAGTATATTTGCATTTTGACCGAGAAGAATTTATTACTATTTATCATCTATTTATTATTATCAGTATTGCTATGAAGAAAATGCTTTGTCATTGTTTGATTTTGTCACTGTTTAACTACTGTGCGCCGGTATATGGGCCCTTTGTTGATGCTTTTACCGCGAATAGGATCCAACGAGTGCAAAATGCTTGCATTAGATTTAATTACGGCATTCGTAAATATGATAGAGTCTACTATCGTTTAGTAGACCTAAATTGGTTAAATATGCGTGGTCGTTATTTGCTTTCATCTCTCTGTTTCTTTCACCGATTGCTGAGTACCGGTAATCCGCCATATTTGCTGAGGAAGATTAGATTTCGTGGTGACATTCATTCCGTCAATATCCGGAACCGAAATTTAATTGCTCCACCGGCTCACTCTACCACTTTTTTTTTTGAAAGATCTTTTACTTATAATATTTATTCGCTTTATGGTTCCGTTCCGGAGAGTTTACGGGGTTTGAGTACAGCGGCGTTCAGGCGCGCCATGTTTCTGAATTTGTTTGAGGAGCAGTCTTAATGATTATGAGCGTTTTGTAATTTTAAGCACATGCGTACATTATTGAATGAACTGTTTTATATTTTGCTTTTATTTTGTTTTGTTTTTGATTTTGATTTTTTTTTCCTTTATATTTTTAGGCTTGTAATTAATATATTTAGCATACCTGTGGTCAAGGAATATTTGTAAACCAGAGAGTGGTTTTACCACTCACCTGAACTATCCCTTGTGGTTCACCTAAATGATTATGTTAATATTTAGAATTTATTATTACTTTTTTTTTTTTTTCTTTATTATTATTTTATTTGTTATTATTGATTGTTTTCTTTCTTCTTATTATTGATGGGTGAATAAAAGTATTATTATTATTATTATAGGTGTGGACTATTTTCTCTGATACCGTCTTTCCATTTCTTTTATATCCCGATAGAAACGCTCTTCACTAACATCACCTAAATTGTCAGGAAACCAATGTAAATGAGAGTGCAGAAATTGGTAAAGTCACGAATACACCTGTAAGACGTACAACAACAAATATAAGTGAGGGATGGTTCACTACAGCAGTCAAGAATAAAATAAAAGAAAGAGATAGAGCGTATATTAGGACGAAGCGTTTTCTTGGAAGTGAATTATACTGGTGTCATTTTGTCAAATTTCGGAAAGAAGTTAAAAACCTTATTAGAAGGAAAAAGAAGGAACATATGGCTAAAGAATTTCAGAATACTGATGGATGCCCCAGAAAGCAGTGGTGTATTATTAAATGCCCTGTCGATTGATATAAAAAATAAACGGATTCCTAAAATTGTAAGCAGTAAGGGAGACGTAGTGGATCCTAGAGAAATGTCTAATGTTCTGAATGATCACTTCACCTTCAGTATAGACAGGTTGCTTGCGGGAAAGCCAATGTCAGCTTGGATTATGGGATAGATTCCTCAATGTACATTAAGCCTACAACTGCAGATGAAATTGGGCGTATAATTGATAATATAAAAAACAATGCAGCACCAGGCGATGACGGTATAAAACCAAAAGCGGTGAAAGTACTGAAAGGAGTTTTGTCACCTGTTCTATCAAGTATTATCAATAGAGAAATAAAACTTGTTCAATTTCCCGATATCCTAAAGATAGGAAGAATAACTCCAGTGCATAAAAAAGGCTCAAAAACTCTTCCGGAGAACTATAGACCAATATCTAAGCTGTCGGTCTTTGCCAAAATATTTGAATCAATTTTAAAAAGTCCCATTTGAATACGATTGGTTTCCAAACTTGTGAGCAGCATGGTTTCATACGCGGTAAGAGCACACAGACTGCTATTATATCATTGTTGGAATTTGTTTACAGAAATCTCAATGAAAGCAAAATAGTTTTGGTTGTTTTCCTGGACTTGTTTAAGGCATTTGAAGTGGTTGACTATGCTATACTGCTTAGTAAGCTCGATGCTTTGGAAGTTCAGGGACCATAACTGAGAGTTTTTAAAAACTATTTAAGAAATAGAAAGCAGTACACTGTTTACAATAATGCTACTAGCAGCAGGACTCATATAAAGTATAGAGTACCCCAGGGATCTGTCCTCGGTCCTCTGCTTTTTTTAATATATATAAATGATATAACCAGTTGTTGTATGCATGGTGATCTTGCCTTGTATGCGAATGATGCTGTTTTGTTCTACAGCGGGTCTATGCACTCTGTCTTTTCTGATGCTCAGTGTGATCTCGACAATGCTTGCTCTTGGGTAGATGAAAATAATATTAAATTAAACAGCGATAAATGTACATATATGATCTTTAACAGAAAGGCCACAACCTAAAGTCATGAACTTATAATCTCTGGTATTAGGTTGAGTGAAGTTACAAATAGTACCTATTTGGGCATTGTCTTAGATAACAGATTAACGTTTGAACACCATATAAAATTAATACAAAAGAAGTTAAATATTATAAGTTATCATCTAAAACGTAAGGGTCAATATTTCAACAATGAAACGAGATTTTTATTTATTATGCATATGCTCACTCTTACCTTTGCGCTTTTTGACCTTGACCTTGACAAGCTACAAGTAACACAAAATAAGTTTCTAAAGATTCTCTTTTGTGAACCACATAGCACAAATACTACATCATTG